GTGAGGTGTGTGGAGTTTCCAGAGCTTGGCCCCTGCCCCGATGGGGCATTGCTGGTCCAGACTCACCAGAGCATGTCCCGTGGTGGCCCAGACCAGCCCCACACCACTGGGGCCATGTGACAAGCTCTGGCTTGTCCAGACCATCCCTGTGCCCCCTCACAGATTGCTGCAGGGCACAGAGCATGGGGCTGCAGCCTGGCAAAACTGGTAGACTTGGTGCTGCAGCCACTGGGAGCTCCATGCTGCTGCCACCACTGCCACCAGGAGCCCCATGCCACTGCTGCTGCCACTGCTGGGAGCCCTGCATCACCACCAGAAGCCTCACGCAGCCATTGCTGCTGCCACCTCTGCCACCACTGCCAAACTAACTGGTCAGGCCCCCAGCCCCATCACCAGCCACCAACCCTGTCCTGAGGGCACCCAACCCAGAGGACAGGGGCACAATGCATGCTTCCTCCCTCCCTCCCTGAGCCACCGCTGCCTAAATCTCGGCACTATGAGGCGTGGGGTACAGAGCACAGGGATGCAACCCAGCTGGGCCCAATGCCCCACAGTTGCAGGGCAGCCGCTATGGCGTGGAGTTGTGCCTCCTACTGTGCCCCCGCCACACATCACCTATGCCCACCCCCTTACCCCCGTAGACTTACCTGCAGGCAGCTGTGGGAGCTGTTCCCATCACCCTGTCTGGCTATATTGCTGGGCACATGTGCACACACACACACACTTGTCACCCCTTGCCTCTGATCACCCTCCCCTGCTCCCCACAGCCCTAAGCAGCTTTTTGCAGGCAGAAACTTTACCAGTCTGCAGGGGAGAAACCCATGGTTTCCTACTTCATAGGGGGAAATCCAGGGTCTTCACCTTTAAAAGGGAAAATCCATGTTTTTCCATGGGAAACAGAAAAATCAGATCCCTGGCGATGGGTGATTACCCAATGCAGAAGCAGAACATAAACCTCTGGAAGGCATTCCCAGGGACCCCACTATGGAGCACTACGTGCAATTCAGAAAGCAGTCATGTAAGTGCAGAAATAGTCATTCACTGCAAAGTGCAGGCCTGGTGAGAGATTCCTGGAGCAGATACACTTGCAAGATTGCTCATGGTGACAGCAAGAGACTGTAAGAGGACTTTGTGGTAAATACGCATCAGTGCCCATCCATTTGTGAAACAAAGTTTGCCCAGCTTAGATAAGAGAAACAAAGTGATCCAGCACACAATTCTTTACTAACAACAAAAGAACTTCAGAAACCAGGGGAATTCCTTGCCACAATTGGTTGAAGTTGACTCACTCTTTGCATTGTTACAGTATCTCACAATACTTCTGTGGGGTCACAAATTCAAAGATTCAGGGTAGAAGGCCCAGATTCATGGTGCCAATGTCTAACAAAGATCATGAGCCCAAGTAACTATTACAAATGTGCTATAGCTCTGAACTTTTAAGCCCTCAAAAGCAGATTCCTTGTCTAAAACGAAGCAGACAAGTCCAGATGATTCCCTCCAGATGGAATAGGAGGAAACCTGGCCAGCAGAGAAGTGGAGGAGGAGGACTGCACTTTTGCAAACTGTTCCTGAAATCCTGTGGTATTGCATACAAGGCAGAGAGGAGGATGGGGTTAAGAGTGCTCCATGAGGCCAGAAGTACTGGGGAAATGGAGCTCATTCTGGTAGGCGTTTTCAGCTCCTAGGCCAGCCATGGGG